AAAATGTTTTTACAGACAGAAACAAGAAAACAACAGTCTTTAAAATCAAAAGCCGCCCATTTCTTTGGTCTTTAGATAAAATTTCTGACGAAAAAGTAGATTTTATTTTTGTCCGTTGGTTTATCTTCACTCTATTATCCACCAAATATAATACATGTATGACATGCATACTTTACTACACTTATTTTCATACATTATTCAAGTATATGTCAAAGATTTAAATCAAGCTTCCAAGATTGAAATTTGTAATCTAGTGATTTGCAAGAATATTGCCACCTTATCTCACTACCCGGTTGGCTAAAATTTTGTGTGTGATAAAACACTTATAATACATTTTCAGAGGATTTATTTGTTGTATATATTTCCATTTATTTGCTAAGAGTTTGTTTTTGTGTTTAGAACTTTAGAACAAAATAGTTGTGGCAATTAGTCCTTCTGATTAGTTTCATTTTCATACGTTTTTTTTATGCGATATTAATTGATTTGAAACCTATATTGATGATGTGAGATTCGAACCGCAACATTCGAAAATGAAACTTTTTATATTCTCAAGTAAAATCAACAACCAGAAAACGGCACGTCGTTTTCATCAAAGAACAACCACTTGGCGTGAATATATTTTAAAAAGCCCAACAAGGCCCAATAAATATACCGTTTCGCAAAACCGACAAGAAAACGCGCGTCGTTTTTCATGAAAGCGACCGGCACGGTGTGTCCTCGTAAACAACGAATTAGCTTTTTGGGTCCAAAGAAGAGGATAAGGATCACGTGATCGAAAGTCAGAAGTTCCCATCTTCCTCCTCTCGTTGGATCATAAACAAGACAAATCCAATTCTTCCCATCACTCTTTCTCTTTTCATTTTTTTTTTTAAAGAGATTTCACCAAATACAAAAATATTTTCGATAAAGACAAAACCCATTTTCATGTTTTTTTTTTCTTTTCTTAATTCTTCTGAAAACGGACAATGATTTTTTTTTGCTGTAAATATCAAGATTCTTGGCCACGCGCCGAGCTCGAAAGCCATGATCTAGGAAAGATCTAAATATAATCCTACTTGGCCATTGAAAATTTTCTATTTTTATTTTTTGTAATTTTTGGGACAGAGACAAGAAGATTAATATCAAACACTAGTTTGTGTAAAAATCACCAGATTAAGTGGATTTGTGGATGTTACAATTTTCTGGGTGAG